AGGGGAAGGGCACAGGAATGGGAAGGCGAAGGGAGGAAGGGCTGGACTTTAGGTAGAATCAAGAGATGAAGTTGTAGACCCGTTTCGTCGCGTGAAAATGGAACAACGAGGTGACCGAGACTACATAACATGAATAATTTGCTGAGCACGCATGAAGGGGCGGTAGGGACTGGTTGAGGGAGAGCCTACTAGGAACCTACTAGGACATTCCACTCCTTGCTCTCAACCCATGTATGGACCTCCATTACACAAATGGGTGGCGTTGGCTCCAGGACAAGGGGAGTCCTGGTAGCCAGACCTTGAATCCCCGTGTGCTGACGCGGGAGGAGGAAGAAGAGGCCATTGTTTAGTTAGGATGAAGAAAGATGTCATTTAGCTAATGGGAAGGTGGGGGGGGGGGTAAGGATATACCAGCGTTGAGAAGGACTGGACGATTTTTGTTTTCTTTGGCATGGGAGTAGAACGTCATTTCCATGATTAGGCTTACCGATATATGAACTCGTGGATATCCTGTCGAATGGGAGGGGTGGGGCATGAGCACCATACTTTGGTTTGGTTCTTATGGCGGCAGGATGACGCGGAGGCGGGCAGAGGAAGAGGAAGATGTGGGGGAAGGAGAGGAGGAAGGAAGAGCGGAGAGGAAGGGGAAAGGAAGGAAGGAAGGGTGGAAAGGGAGAAGGGGAGAGGGTGTGGCAGAAGGGCGACAGGTTCTCCCACGCGCGTCTATGTAAACACCTGCTGGTGATTTCAATGCTAAAGTAGGAGTCATCTTGTACGTGCGTTTTTATTATTACTTTAAACCTTGTGTTGTGTAACAAGTCCAACACCAGGTGCGCAGAATTATTTTGGCCTCCTCCCTATTTTTTGCGATTCCTGAGCCTGATATCAGTGTGATTGCGATCCTGACTACATCCATCGAAGATTAGCTTAATAATTACTACATGCCATGACACCGATAGCAACTAATAGGAACTTAATTAGTAATAAAAACCCTTTTCATTCGGGTTGCGCCCTCGCCTACAACAAAAGAAATGAAACGTGACGAGTGGTCGAATGGTCGTGTAAGGCTGGCCAAAGGCAAAGCGTCCGGTGTCATATTGCGGCGTCCACCCGTATGCGCAGCGTCTCAGTTACCATGGCGACCGAAGGATGTGCGGATGCGGGCCCCGATCCCGCGCGTGGTGCTCGGGTTACGCAAAACATTTAATAGCGACAAGACCACAGGGAGTGTGAAGCCAGAATAGCCAAATAGCTCTAACCGCACCGCAATTATCGGGTATTTGTGTTGGGGGACCATGCATCTCCTTTCGCAGTGAGAACCCTCTCATCGTCTTTTTCCTTCCAATTCATCATTTCTTCTTTTACTCTTGCTTTATCTGACTATCTTGTTTCCTCCCCCCTTTTCAGGTTTTCAGTCATTGCTATGATTATTTTATTTTTTCTTCTTCCCAAAGAGTATTTACCATTTTATGATAGAATAGAATGTGTATTTAGATCTATGATAAAAAAAAATATAATTACTGCAGAGAGCACCCCATGATGATGATAATATGATAATGATAATGATAATAGCAATAATAGCAATGATAATGATGATAAGAAAATGTATCCTCCATTTTAAGGGAAGTTAAGTGATGTCTCTGCTTTAGATATTTTTCGTGTGATATAGTCAATTGTTTTAGATATCCCGTTAGTAAAAAAATAGTTCTGGTAAAGTAAGTAAAACTCCTTGAAGCATATCAAAGAAAAGTTAAGTGTGGCTGATGTCTTTACTAGGTAAATGAAAACAGACTATTTTTTTCATATCTCAAGCTTCCTTTTGTCTTTCACATCCCTTTCTAATTTCCTTTATAATTCTCTTCCCCAGCCCATAACTTTGTTAATATCCTCCTATCTTGAGATTCTTTTTTCTTAAAGAACTGAATAAGTTAGCTAGTTATGTTATGGTTGATGCAACATACAGCAGGATATGACCCTAAGATTTCTTACTGATATGCATTTTATAAATAATGTTAGAGCTCATTCAACTTTATTTAACTGTACCTTTTTTTTTTTTTTCTTTTTTCAGGCATTTTCTCCAACTCAGAAGTATGTAGTCTCCGTAGGATCCCAGCATGACATGATTGTCAATGTGTGGGATTGGCGAGGAGGAGTAAAAGTCGCTTCCAACAAGTTTTCCAGCAAGGTCAAGGCTATCAGCTTCGCAGAGAATGGCTCTTATTTTGTTACTGTAGGAAACCGCCATGTGAAGTTTTGGTACCTTGAAGTGGCGCGAGGCTCCAAGGTGAGTCGTCTGAAAGTGGTAAGGATGTTCTTTAGTGAGGACAGAAATGTTTCGTGTGAATTGGTGGAATAATTCAGTTGATGGAGATACATAGTTAATTCTGATCTTGGTTAATTCTTTGGTTTTCCATGCAATTTTCATTACATCACGAAGTACATCGTGATTCTGCAAAATGGGGGCACTCCTCTTAGATAGCAAACACTCAAATTTATAGTAGCACATTTATATAAATTTTGTGCAAAGCGTGGGGTGGGGGAATAGTATTCCTATGTGAGATGAAGGTTTACTATAAGAGAGTAATATGAAGAACTGTTGCTGATATGAGGAAGAATTAAGAGAGCTTTATTTACCAAGTCAGTTTTTATGTGATAAATGAAATTTTAGAAAGTAAGGTCATTTGTATAAAATTTAAATATAATAGCCAGATGTAGATGAATACAACATTCTCATCTTTGCCTCTTTTTCACAGTTTAAGGAGCCCGTACCCCTGACTGGTCGGTCTGCCATTCTTGGAGAACAGAGGAACAACTATTTCTGTGATGTCGCATGTGGACGTGGTGATATGGGAGACTCTACTTTTGCCATCACCAAGTCTGGCTTGTTGTGTGAATTCAATAACCGAAGGCTGCTAGACAAGTGGGTGGAGCTGAGAGTAAGTATGAGTGCAGTTTTCTGTTGTAAATTGTTCTTTACTATTTCTTAGGACTTAAATTTTGTTGTTCTGGTTAATTGCTTTATTATCATTAGGTTTCTTAGATTGTCAGTCTTATTTGACTTGATTGATATTGAAAAGAGAACATTTTTTTTTTCCCTGTTCAGACATCCAGTGCAAACTGTGTGGTGGCCGGGGAGGAATATATCTTTGTAGGCTGTGCTGAAGGTATTATCCGATGCTTCAGTCCTTATAATCTCCAATTCATCACCACCCTGCCTCGCACGCACTACCTTGGTGTAGATGTATCAAAAGGTTTAACTATCAGGTACGTAAAGTGGACTACATATTGTTTTGTGTGTATTTTATATTTAGTTTAATTAATTTTTTTTTCTAGTGTCTGTGATAAAGGCCTAACTGATTGTGAATTATTTTTAGATATAACTTTAATCACTTTATTAAAAAGTATAGAATTTTTATGATGTGATAAGATCTGTTTGCTTGGAATGTGTGTGTTTTCTTAAAATTTTAGCATTGAAAAGTTTATCACTTTCATTTAGAGAAAATGAAAAACATAAGGAAAGATATTTGAAGTGAGGACATTAGTAATTGTATGTTTTTGGTGCCCCCTGAGGGTTTATTATGCCTTCGAGTTAGCCACTTAAGTAATATAAGATGTTATTAGGGTAATTTATTATGCTTTTGTATTAGGAGGACCTTCTTTCTTCATTGTTTTTCTTTTTCCCTTTTTCCCACTTGTGCTGCTTATGCTTGTGTATCTTTTCCATAGTTAGGACTTCAGGAAAAATCTCTGGTGTGCTCACGTGTATATCTGGGAATTTTTTTTAGGTCATTTGTTAGTCATTGATTATGTAAAGTATCTATAGTCATGTGAAGGTGCATGATATTTAGTAACAGGATTTTTTTTTTCCATTTTGTGAGTGAAAAATGCATATTGCTTGAAGTCGCTTCTAAGTGTACATTTCAGATCTCGTGCTATGGATGTTGAAAGACTATTATATAAGAATTGTCTAAGGAATGAAGCAAAATCTATTATGAATGCAGATAAACTTTTTTATGCTTTGTGATGTGCTACAGATAGATTCAGTTTTCATGCTAGTTCTAACTACTTTTTACCATTGTGTTAGTAATTAGTAATGTAACACCTAATTGGTATGTAACATCTTCATTTTGTATCCTTCTTCACTACCTGCAGCAAAGTATGCATTCCTTATTATTTTGAGATTTGAATGCAGTTTGCTTTTATATCACTGTCACCCCAGATGCTACCAAAATTATGAAATAGGGAAGCAAAAGCACCAGAACTCACTATCGGAACCAACCCTTTTTATCCAGTACTTGCATCGTTTGGTTTCTTTGTAGCATTCACCAAGTAGGACATTTGGAAGTATGGCCATCCAGGACGTTGCTGTGCTGTTGCATTTAAGTGTCTCGATGTTGACACCATATCTTAAAGATAGCACAGGAATTATTTGATGGCAGTTATAATGGTTGATAACCTCCTAATGCATTAATGTACTGCTGATGACACCTGTGCTGGTGTAGTAATGGTTAAAAGGGTGGACAGTCTTGTAAAGGAAGGGCACCATAGACTCACCAAACAAGTGTGCGATCTTTGTGTGATATTTCACATCTACTGTTAAGACACCCATACACTCTGAATAGGAAGGAAATTGCATGCTTTGTTCACGTCTTGAATGTGAGACCTTTTCAAGAGAAGTATTGATCCTTGCCTTCTTTAATTAATTTTCCTTTATACCTTCTTCATCGTACTCTCCTTCTTCTTGTTCTTCTTATTCTTTTGTTTTTGTGATTTTTAGTTTTTTTAGAATATTTTAGATATTTTCACAGTTAATATTCCCCCCGAGTGATCCATTTGACACTTGATTAAGAAACGCATGCTCTTCTTATGCAGTCACATGGCCGCTCACCCAAACAATGCCAAGTACCCTGACACCATAGCTGTATCCTTTGATGAAAACAACCACAAAGTGACGGCTGTTTATAATGACCATTCCATGTATGTGTGGGATGTCAAGGATATAAAGAGGGTACGTATATTTTTCACTACCTTGCCATAAAGATAGTCTGCGTTAAATAGCAGAGCAAAAGTTTGCAAAAGTATATTGAAGTTTGGCTTCAGTACTTAAATCATTATGATATTTTGTTAAGTAGATAGAGATTGTAGAGAGATCCCTTTCATAATTTTGTGACAGTAATTTGTAACATTTTCTTAACTTTTTTGTAAAAGTAATTAGCAATATATTGGAAAATGAAAATGTTAAATGTTGACAAGTTTTATTTCATTAATTGATTATGAGAAATATTCCTTAAGAAATTGAAATTAAGTAAAGTATTGGAGATCCAACATTTTGTTTTGATTTAGTTTCAGTATTAAACTGTGTTTATTTGCTTTTTTTGTTTAGAGTGATGTGTCTCACAATTAATTTGGTGTTGCACCTGCACAGTGAAAACACAGGAACATAATTTTATATTACACTGAAGTGTGTAATTCTAGTTTACTAGATGCAAGCAACCATGAGTAAGTAATAGAACTTTGAAATTTGTACATAATATGTTTTATCCATAACAGGTTGGAAAGTCCCACTCCTACCTGTACCATTCTGCCTGCATATGGGGTGTGGAAACCTACCCCACAGAGGGAGAGGGCGGAAAAGGGGTGATGCCTCCTGGGTCCTTCATCACCTGCTCTTCCGACGACACAATCCGAGTCTGGAATATTGACTCTGCCATGCCCTCAAATACTCTATATAAGAGGAATATTTACAGCACTGTAAGTAGGGTTGTCCTTTTCCTGAACTGATTAGAAATTGGAGCGTGTTCTGATTTTATTTCCTTTTTTTCTTTTTTTTAACTATATTTCTAGAACCTTTGATCTTTTTGTTGTGCTGCCTTACTAAAAGTTACATTGTGGAGTAAGATGTTTAAAATATCTTTTGCTGCCAGACTGTCACTTAATACAAGAGTATGAATTAGAAGAGGTACCTCAATGACATACTGTATAGAAATGTTTAATATGTTAAAAGTAATCCCTTGATATGTATTAACGTTAACTTTGAAATATTTTGCTAATAGTTATGAAACTCATATTTGGTAGTCATTATACCATTACCAGAAGTAAAATACTTATAGCAAATATGGTAGTTGCTGTAGAAATGATGCATCAAAACCATTAATGATCTAGAAGCATAAGAAAGAGTTAGATTCTGTTTAAGGAGGAGTAAATTAATTTGCAGTCCAAACCAATTTGTAGATTAAAAGAAATTCTTCACATAAAGCAGACAAATGAGGAAACAAAGGTTAGAAGTTGTTATGAATTCTCTTGAATTGCTTGCACCGCTTTTGCCCATTACAGGACACTGAAGTGGTAAGATACAAATTGCTTTCATCACTTAACTGCAGTACACATAAATGATTTTGTTTAACTCACTGACCATGGATTTATGTACTGTCCACTGATGGTTTTAGCTAAATTTTGTTGCACACTGATGGCTCCACAAGTGCTTAGCCACTAAAGAGTTCTTCTACTGATACTTTTATTGATATTATGACTGGTATTATGTTATCAAATACTATTAACAACAGAGATGATAAAATGAGGAAAATGAATCTTACACAAAATTAAGGAAAAGGATACTAATGATTGACTCTGTGATGAAAAAGCTCTTGTGGATCCATGTCTGTGTAAGCTCAATTAAAACCAAAATTAGAGTGGACATGGCATGTACATCATGCCATCTGAGGTCGTTGGGTTAAGTGCACTTCGGAAAAAAAGATGCTATGGACTTGGATCTCATTTTAAAAGAATTGAACTTGACTTCATTGCACTGAAATGTACAAAGAACAGATAAGCTTTTGTTAATTTCAGAACTATGGACTAAATGCTATGTTTTGTAGAAATATTTAATGAAGAAGTATTATGACAAAGTTATAAACTTTTTCTGGAAAGGACCCCAATCGTGTATTTATTGATTAATGTTACTTTAGTTTATCTCTTTATGATGTTCCTTACTCACATTGGAAATAGTGTGGATATAAGAAAGCTGAATTATAGTGGAACATTTAAAACTTGCTGTTTTGGAGAATTGCAATTATTGTTTTAAAACATTTAATGTAAAATGTTTTGAAAGACTAGGACTTTTATCATGTAGATTTTTGCATTTTTTGATGTAACATGTGTTGGAATTTCTTGCCAAACCAGAGTTCCTCACTCTTTTTAGACAAAATTTTGAAGTAGGTCCAGAAACGTGTATTTTAGTACGTACAAGTAATTTGCTTGCATACCTTCAAAGCCTCATTCAATTGTGATTTTGCTGCTGTAAGCTTTAGGCCTGTTGCCAGATGCTTTTCTTTCTTTTCCCGTAGGAACTGCTCAAAATCATATATGTGGACCCAGAGTTGGGTTTCATCAAAGACACAGATGTTAACCCTCAAGGTGGGGATAGGAATGACACCTCGTATGATTCCCGCAACGGCGTCAGGTGCATCAGAGTGAGCCCTGACGGCAAGCACTTGGCTTCTGGAGACCGGGCCGGAAACATCAGGTCAGGATTGGGAACGATTGGAGGAAAGGAGGAAGGAGGAAGGATTTTTTTTTTTTTTTTTTTACCCCTCTCCCCCCAATTTTCACTTTGTTTTGATGATTTTTTTTTCTTCTTTTTATGTAAAAAGAAAACCTTTTTGAGTTTTTGGTAGTTGTAGATTTTTGAAATATGTTTTCTATCCATATAGATTTGTTTGCTGTGCACGTGTGTATGTGTATGTGTATGTGTGTACGTGTGCTTGTGAGTGTGTGTAAAAAGCAATATGCAGAAGAGTTAATGGTCCTGTCAATTTTTTCCTATTCAACATTAGTTTTGCCTTTAGATATGAAAGATTTCTCTGGATTCCCCTTTAGTGATTAGACTTCTGTGAACACTGCATGCCCTTTAATCAAGTCTTTGATTTCCATTTGAACTTTAAATTCTGCCAACAGAGTGCATGAATTGCAATTTCTGGATGAGCTTTGCAAAATTGAAGCTCATGATGCCGAGGTGTTGAGCCTTGAGTATTCCCGCCCAGACACTGGCCACAAGTTCCTTGCGTCGGCGTCACGAGACAGGTTGATCCACGTGTTTGCTGTCGATCAGGTAATATGATGATTTAGTTGTGCTTGTTATGTAGGCATGCTTTATTTAAACTAATATCTGCTGTACATAAAAAAGGTGTTGTTTATTCATCATCTTGTGCTCTGATTTATTCTTATAAAGATAGGATATATATGCATTACGGGTGTTAACCTATTGCTGCTGGGAAATGTGAGGTCTACTATAGTTTTGTTTTGTGAATTGGTTTTGCACATAGGCCTTGCCTTTCCTTAAGTAATTTTCCCTTTCCTTGACTTAATGGGAAAAATGTTATTGACATTAGAAATGATTATAACAATGCTGTTAACAAAGCTATTAGTAGTATAAATTCAAAAGATATTTCTGAAAATCAAGGAAAGTTTAAAACATGTTAGATCAGAAGTACTATCACAATTGATAAATGAAGATCACAGTGGATGTAATGTCTACCTATATGTCATCCCAGGCAGCATTAGGTCAATGCATGTTTTTTATTTAGGGCATAAAAGGAGTTTGTTTTCAGCTATTAGGTTCTGTTGATGTTATGGGGATTTCAACTATGCATAAGCAGTTAGCAAGATCAGTTATATTGCAAAGATATATGTAGCTTTAAGAAAGATTACTAAGCACTCATTTCAACTCCATTTAAATTTTCAGGATTACAGCTTTGTGCAGACCTTGGACGACCATTCCTCAGCTATTACATCAGTGCGTTTCTACCAAACCCAAGGAGCCTTGCAAATGGTGTCTTGCAGTGCTGACAGGTCGATCATCTTCCGAAGTGCAACACAGGTATGTTTTACACTTCTTGTGATGTGGGTTGTGCTAGCATTAAGTGTTTGCATTTCAAAACTATTTAGTTATTTATGGAGATAATTTTTAGATGGTAATGAAGAAATTATACCAAGTAGAGAACAATATTGTTATGATAAGAGTTTGCTTTTGAATCACTGGAGGGGTCTGAGACAGGAGTCAGGTTCAAGAAATTCAGGTTTCTGAACTACATTACCATTATTCAGGTCTGGGATGATAACATATCAAGTTGTTATTCATGTGTATTGTACATAGGATGGATTATTAGTTATTACAGTTGCATGCCGTTCTTCATCCAGCCTTCCTTTAGTATTTAAGATGATGACGTTAACAATTAGGGGTCTTTCATGTTAGAATAGTATGTGTTCATCAGACTAAAGGAAAATATGTAATTAAAGGTGCATAAATAGGGCAACTGTCTGTATTATGAAATTTATTTCTGTAGGAAGTAAGGTCATATTTATGATTATTATTTTTATTTTTATTTCCTTTTCACTTTTGTTTATTTCTTATTTTTTTTTCTCCATCATACGCATTTTAAGTTTTATTTGTATCTCTTACACTTTACCATCATGGTAATAAATCTATGCTTTAGGTTACTGAAAGTAAAGAAAGTGATATTTGGTGTAGAATTGATAAATTCTATTCTTTCTTGTAGGGTTTTTGATTGGGTAAAAATATTTTTGAAGTAGATTTCCCTAAAGATTAAAATTTAGATTTACAAATTTTGTTGTGGCAGTTGTGCTCTTTTTTAAGTACTATTTTTACCCTTTGATCAAACAAGACATGCACCAATAAATGCTTTGACCCTCATTCCATTTTAATGAATATTGACATGATTAGGAGAACTGTTATTTGCATGCGTAATTAGACCTTTTTTACACCTAATGTCTCAATGATTTTGTATTTTGAATTAAGATCTATGAAAGTTGACTGCCACTGTGTATAAATTCTCAGTGGTGATGCTCTATAGTTTTACCTAGAATTGGCCATTGTTATTAGAAGATGGACCACCCTGCTTTCCTTTTCAAAAATGCTAGTGGGAACGGGGATATTGAGAGTTTATTTAGTCTTGTTTATTGATACTTGTATGGCGGATAACCTTAATCAGTTAGTTCACATGATAAGTTTAGAGGCTTCATCTCCTATACTTGTTATTTTTTAAACTTACCTATATAAAAGGCTGATAGATGTTTAGAATAGCATTACGCACCCAGTATCTAATTTGTCGTTTTTCTCCTTCTGTCACTCAGGGATCACTAAACAGAAAGAGGGTAAATGTTTTCCATGTGTTTCAGTGCTTCACCCTTTTTGGATTTTGGTTTCTTGCATGCAGAATGTGGAGGTCAAGTGCAAGTGTTATTTGAAAGATTTGAATATTTATTGTACCCTTTCTTCTTGGCTCATGTGTGGAACTCTTTAGCCGTCTGCATAAAACATTCAGAATTATTGGTATCACTGCTAAAGTTATTGGTATCACTGCTAAATGCCGCTGATAAGAATAGGGAATATGATTGACGCAGTGAATACATTAAAGCACGCTGCTCTGTAGTCTGTTTTTGTCATTCCCTGTTGAGACGAGATGGTTTGCCTGGGATTAGCATTGCCTTGCAAATGGACGTTGAATGGCAGGGTCTGCTTGAACACCCATCCATATCTCTTCACCACATGAGCCTGCTTTTGTCTTGGCTTTTTAGAACATTTTGATGGTTTGGGTCTTCTGGCTAAGTTCTTAGATATTCAGTAGAAACTTGGTTAAGTTGACGAGCCTTCCCAGAAGAGTCGGGATAATGAATGATTTCTTTGACTTTCTCACGTTACAGACACCCCAGAATGAGGTTTGGTTTTCCCGTGGACACAACGTGGCTGGAAAGACAACACTTTATGATATGGAGGTCAGCATGAGTCATTTGTATTTGTTGTTTCTATATACTCTTGAAATATGTGTTTTCTTTCTTTGTTTTGTATGAAGTCTACAAGATATTTTGCTGTAGTACTGTGGTTAAGGCATTAAATTTTCAGAAAAGTGGTTCATATTAGTGATTTCATTGTATTTGCAGGTGGATCATGGTCAGCGGCATATACTAACAGCATGTCAGGACCGTAATATTCGTGTTTATAATGTTAACACTGGGAAGCATTCCAAGACTTTCAAGGGCACAATTGGCGACGATGGAACCTTGATTAAGGTATGATATTTGTTTTGAAAATCATTAAATACAAGAGTGAATTTTGATTAAGTTAAACATTTTAATAGTTTTAAAGGATGGTATATAGAGACTGGCACTGAGATTTTTTTATTCTGGTTTACAGGTGGTCTTAGATCAGAGTGGAATATATGCTGCTACCAGCTGTACAGACAAGAACATGTGTATATATGATTATTATTCTGGGGAATGTATGGCAACCATGTTTGGACACTCTGAGCTAGTTACGGGACTTCGCTTTACCAGTGACGGCAAGCACTTGATCACAGTTTCTGGTGATGGATGCATCTTTCTGTGGAGGTAAGTACCAAGCTTGTAAACTGCTTTAATCGATGTGATAGATTTTTTCCATATTTGCAGTTTCAGATAAAAACAATCACTGATATCAGTAAGAAAATAGGTTTATTGTTACGTAATAGAATGAATGGTTTAGATTTTGGTGTTTACTTCTATTTGGTAAGGTGATAAAATAAAGTTTTTTCATAATTGTTTCTGATTTCATGTTTGTATCATCTAATGTTATGAAAAAATTGGATGAAAAAAAAAATACACACATGTATGCCTTTGCAAATATATGTATACAAAATGAAGCTTGGTATTAGATATTGGTATACTTGGATGGGTGTGTGTAATGCAGATTTACTGACTGGAGAGCTATGAAAATATTCCATCTATAATGACCAGTGTAACTTTATTACCTTCCCAGAATGCCACATGACATGTCGCAGACCATAACTGCACGCATTGCACAACAAGCAGAAAGGGCCTCTAAAGAGAAGCGAAAAGTAAGGCAGCCTATTGATAACGAAGACTTCAGACCTGCATCGGACGATATATTTGATCAGAATGCCAATGAAGCAGAAGAGCCAGATTACAGGTCAGATTACTGTTTGATGTTATTTTTGTTAGTGATATTTTGGGAATACCTAAGGTATATTATGAATAATATCTAATGTTTTAGTTTGATTATTTATTTATTTGTTTTTATCAGATTTAGTATGGGTCAGCTTCCTTTGTGGGCTAAGAAGCAGATGACAGAACCACAAGGACCAGCTGGGGGTGCCGGCGACAGGGGCACAGTGGACATGCCAAAAGGACGCTGGGCACAAAGGCTTCATAATAATGCCATAACATTCAAAAGTCATTATGATACGGACTCTGTCATACCTTTCCCTGCTAGAGGTAATCATATTTACTTGTAGTGATTTCTAATATTGTTATACACAGTTTGAAGCATGCTTTTATAGGAAGATTGTAAGAAGGAATTATTTTTTGGCAGTTTAAACTTTGAGTTGGGACATTTTATCCTCAATAATACTGGATTCTCAAAAAAGAAAGACCGAAAGAAATAAATTAAAAGGTCTTCATCCATTAGATATTTATCTAGGAACCATCACAGCTTTTTGCATTATTTTCCAGATAAACGTCAACCAGACTCGGAGTCCAGTAAGGAAAGCTCTCTGGAAGACAGTGTCGGAGTCCACAAACAGTACCAGTCACAAACATCACGTAGAGATAACTTAATTTTACCAAATAAAGTAAGTTCATAGATTTAGAAACTATTTTTCATGATTGGGTTATTTTATTTTATTTTTATTTTTATTTTTTTTCCCTCGTTCTGAAATATTTGTAATATATAAAGTGAGGAGCTTATGTACAGGGGTTCATATTGGTGTTAACCTTAAACTTATTTTGTTAAGATATTAAGAAATTGAATATTTATGTGACTGAAGGAATTTACAAGGGAGTCTGGCTGGCGTATGATAAATATGATTTTGTATATTTACTTTTTTTTCCAATTTAGTTTTTGCTTGTGATAAGTCTCATCAACATATAGATTAGGCCTATTTTAACATAGTCTGCTTATATTACATAACAACAATGCATGATGGTTAAGTTTCACTGTCTCTTTAAATCTTTCTCTGTAGAATATAACTTCATAGTTCATCTATATAAATCAGAGATTTTGCTCTCTCTCTTGGGGGAAAACAGGGTTAATCATAGAAGTTTTTAACTGAGATGTGCATGAATGCCTTATGTTAGTGATAGAGACATGCACAAGAAATTGTACAACAATTATAATTTATCTTTTTTCCATAAGAAACTTTTGTGATTAAAAAACATCAATGCATGGGTTATCTATTCTCTAAAGAGGGAAAACTTTCTTCTTACAAGATCAGATGCATGAGTTCGCAGTGTTCTCAACTCTTTCCTTTCCTCTCTGTTGACTTCGGCCTCCCAACTTCCAGGACTCAGGTGGCGACCCTGGCTTCATTCCTTGCCCAGAGAGCATTAAGGAAATTAATTCAGGGGAAGGCAGTTTTCAGGTATTTTTTCTCATATTTGATCTAGAGAAGATATTTCCTTCAGTAGCTGGGTGTAGGTGACTGCATATTTTTTTTTATGATTTTGTATGATTTTTGTTTGTTCTTTGATTTTTTTTGGCAGTTGATTCTTTTATGGTAGTGGAAAAGTTTCTTGCATCTCTAGTAGTGGACTTTATTTTTCTTCAGATTTGAATGATTTTTTAAAGATATATCTTACTTAGAATGTTACTATTTTCACAGTAGTGATCAGAAGGTGCTCAGTTCTAAATAGAAAAGAACATTTTTCTTTTCTGATGAAAGACTTGGAATATATTCAGAATAAATGCATCTTCATGTTTCTTTTAGGGCTCACCATCTAAGATCAACACGAAGAGGGGAAGTGATCCTGAGAGCCGCAACAGACACCATACAGACGATAGTGACGTCAGTAGTCTGAGAGTGGACGACGGAGCAACAGACCACGATGGAGACATTGAGGACTACAGCGAGCATGATGATGAAAGCACCGAGCCGGAACATTCTGAACACTTGATGTATTACCCACATAATGATGATACAGCAAGGTAAATGCTTCTTCTATAAAGTTAGAAGGACCTTTATGATGGTGTTATGATTTTTTTTTTTTTTTTTTATGGAATAATTTCTATTATTAAGTATTTTTACTTTTTGTTGATTTTGATATATGATGTAGTTACAGGAATGTCGAGTTGTATTTGACATGAAAGGCTGTAGTCAGATAATTTTTTTGGTAATGGGTATATGTAAGTCGTGACAAAAAAGTGATATCATTTATTATAGTATACAGTAAACTGTACTGTATCAATATATGATACGTATAAAGGTATGTAGTATACTTAACCCTTGTGAATTATTATTTCTATGTAGTCCAAAAAAATATAAAACCAATAGTGGCAAGAAATTAATTTCAAGATTGTATGATTGTCCATTTAGTATGTGGACATTTACATATGGACATATACAAATGTATATGTCCAAATCCATTTAGTATATGGACATATACATTTAGTATATGGAGAGTTATAAAAGTTCTTACTGGAACCTCTGATGCAAACTGTATTTTTTATTGTTTTTTTCATCAGTGATTTTACTGTTAATGCAATGGATGTAGAGGAGCTGCGTCGTTCCCAGCGCCGTCACAGAAAAGCAAGACCAGAGAGACCCACGGACATTCCACTTGTTTCAGTCTCTGGTTCTCAGGATTCAGATGATGATGACGAGGTATGATCTCTTTTGCAGTAATTCACTGTAAGAGAATAAGGCACTTGGAATGAGGAAAGATCGAGAATAATATGGAAGTGGATGATTTTTTTATTATATCATTTGATGTATAGTTGTATGTATGTAACATTGATAATTGATAATCAATTTTAACCCTTGAATAGGTCTCTACTCCAAGTGCTGATACTGCAGAGCGCAATATTATGTCTATGCTCAATGTCAGCACAGAGAGCATTGACAGAGTTGGTCGACGTGAGACTTTCCTCAAGTCAAACTTCGAGTCACTTGAAGGGGAGACGGTGCGACCAGAGAAGGAAGTCAAGAATAAAAATAGGTATGAGAACGTTGCAGTCTTTCTAGGCTACTCATTACAATTGGTTGTGACATGTATATGTAAGCTTTTTCTGTCTCTTTTTGTATCGTGTTGCTAGATGTTCATTCTCATTTGTTTTCTTTTTCCACAGTATATCTTATAAGTTTAATGCAAGAAATAAGGACTCTCAAGTCTCAAACAAACGGGAAGAATTGCTAAAGAGAATTGAAGAGACAAGAAAGAAGCTGCAAAGTGTAAGTCTTTCTACCTATAGCCATTGCTGATTGATGTCCTTACATATTAAAACATGTGAATACTCATTTATAAACTTCAGTAACTAATACTTTTTGTATAAGGATTTGATGGATTTTGTATGAAGCAAAATAAAGATAAAAATGATTTTTTCTCCATCTTCAGATTGGGTATAAGAGTAATCTTAGAAGCAGCAAGAGTATCTCAGACCTAAGCAACATTCCAGAGAAAGATACGTCATACATGTCAGGGAACCAAGGTAACAACTGCGTTCGCTCTGATAATCCCTTCTATCTTAATTTCCCTGCAACGTCTCACATTCCTCTCACAGGCACCAACAGTATCCCTGAATTACTTGGCACCAATGTTCCAACAGTTGTGCCAGGTGTTACAGGTAGTTATCCAGAACTAGTTTCTGGCTGTATACCTGGATTTGTCGGTGGCAGTATACCTGAGTTAGGGTCAAATTGGCTTTCAACTCTAGGCGGTAGCAATGCAGATGTCAGGAGTGAAGGAGTAGCCAGGATAGGATCTGAAGTATTTGATGGCAGTGCAGTCCCCAGAGACCAGCAGAAAACAGGTAAGCAGCTCCTGGCACAGCTCGAGAGAGATCTTCATGAGTTTGATCTGCTGACCGGATGCCCTCCCTCACCCCCCGAAGTTGACACTGATTCCCTGGAGGAAACACTGAGGAGCCTCTCGCTTCTCAGTTCTCAGCAAAGTCAGCTTGGCTTCTCTAGTCGATACAGAGCAGATTCTGATTCTGATAGTGATACTGTTAAGAGTGAACAGTCAAATTTTAGCTGTGATAGTTTAGAAGATGAGGATGATGAAGATGATCCTCCTGAAGAGAAAATTGAAATTCCTCGTCCCCCCGTTTGTGAAGTGCCAAGAACTCTTCCATTGCCACGCCGCAAAAGGCAGAGATGGCAGAGACTGTCACTAGGGGGAAGAACTAAAGAAAGACCAAAGGACTATGAATCCGATTTATTTCCAACCAATGAGTTGCCTTCAAATTCTCACTCCAGAGTATTCCGCACAACTTCAGACACAGCTTTAGGTCACAGTGACAGCAGCCATTCAGATGTGCAGACACCGACCAACCCTCCATACTTTTCTGTAAAGGCTCCTGGGCATGCTGCAACTTCTAAATGCATAACTGGTTCTGGAAATACTCACTCTATGGGAAAACAGCCAATGGATACAGTTGTTTCAACAGTTGATGATGGTAATGGTTCTGTGACAACTGTAACTGTAGAAACTCATTCTTATAGATTAGAAGGTGCAGCACCAGTTTCATATGCTTTACCTCAGTCAGCAGCAGTTGAACAGCTCAGAAGACATAGTCGGGAATCATCGCCCAGGCGTCATATCCCCAAAAACCAGGAAGTCCTCCCTCCTGGAAATTTGGTGCAAGCAGAGGATTTCCCTGTGGTACAAGCCCAGCCTCTGCCCCCTGGGCCTCCTCCAGCTGTCTACCTGCCCTCCTCTCAGCCCACACTCCCACAGGGAGTAATACCAGCCCCGGGCAGGGCACATCGCGTCCTGCTGGCCAAGAAGGTCACCATACAGCAAGTCCTGCCATCCAAACGTAAGAGAGAGCCATTTTGTTCCGCCTGGCTGCTCTTGTGGCATGAGGAATGAACCAGCAGGTTGACAACCTGACCTGCCATTATATTTAACATTATGTTGTCATATGATTTCAGTAATAATTATTTTATTGCTACATTTTCCTTTCATTTTTTCAGGTATATATTATTTTTAATTTTAATAGCTTTAGTGTTAAGTAAGCATGACTTTTGATTTTGTTTTGAGATGCTTTATTATGCACTTTTTTTACTAATACTATTTGAAATATGTGTGAAGCATGTCTTTAGTGTTGATATGAATATTTGTGTTATGTTCTACATTTTTGTTTTCATAAATGATTTTTTTATATCACAGTTTTATCTGTTTGTGCTTTAAAGTTTTTGTGGACAAATAAATGTAATGCAGCACTGGCTTGTGTGATTGTGCATGGTTTATTGTGTCAGCACTTTTCGTACATGCTTGCTGTGCTGCATGCATGGATGGATTCAGGTCTTAAAGCATTACTTGCATCATTTATAAAGCAAGATCCTTTAATTGATTTTGATTTAGTTTCCATGTGATGTGCATAATTTATATCATCATTTCCCAGTTTCTGATTATTGAAAGAGAGACCATTAGCTTCTCAGCTATCATTAGGGATAGATAACAAGTTGTTTCGATGTGTAACTGTAGACTTACCATTCTTACGTGTATTCAGTCACTCTTGCATTTTGAAGTGTTAACCTCTATACGAGAACCACCTTTGTGTTATCCATTCATATCCATGCCTCCATCCCCTTTTCCTTTCACATCTTTGTTTGAAAACCATCCTGTCTCCATCTGAATCCACCCCTATGCATGTGTGCTGTTGTTTGTAGATGGCGGCAGTGGAGACAGTGGGTTCAGCAGCAGCCCCTGTGGTGGTAGTGGTGGTTTACGTCGCGCCTGCTCTCTGAGTGACCTCACCAACCCCACCACCCCACGACGCCTACTGCCAACTCCCCCTACGGGTATGCTTGCACCCGCACTTTTATATCCTTTTTTTTTTTTTAAGATTGATTTGTTTGTTATGTTTAATTTTGTATTTATTTTTTTGGTTCACATTTTTTGTTTCCAGTTTGGTTAATGTGAACATTTTCTGACATGGTATCTTTTAGACATTTTAATTATAGTACAGTATAAACATAGCGAGCTACCTACAGGTATTTGCAAGGTAGATTATAAGGAGAGTTTTGGTTTGCTAGTTTATAAACAGAATTCAACTGTGTGGTGAAATATCCAGTCACTAAAACTAATTGTCATGTGGAATATTGCCATGCTTTGCTTGCCACATATTGATCATATGTTCTGTTAGCTCAGATTTAGATAAATGAATTCTTCAGTGTTTAGCAAGATATAGAGATTTTGCATGAAATCCAAGGTAGAGATCTTTTTATAAATAAAAAATATGATGTTCTGAAGTCTTAAAAAATCATAGTAAATATCTCTAAGTGTGCACATATGACTAAAACTATTAAATTATTTTCTGATACATAGTCCTTTATTCTTTTTTAATCTGTGACAAGATTTTTTTGTTTTCGTTTTGAGGGTGTCACAATTTTATGGTCTCGGGTTGATATACATAATCCACCAATCAGAATTTTAGGGTGTTACTAGTGTTAGTTCCTTACAAGTAAAACTATATCTTCTGTCTAGTGCCGTTTTCCATAGGGTAGCACCAAAGCCATTTCTTCTCCTTGTGTCACTGTTAACTGCTTTTGTTTACTGATTTCTTGCTTTTTGCATTATGAGTACTTTATTAACTTTTAATATCCTCTAATGTATATTTTTGATTATTTATCTGTCTCAATTCCCATTCATCAGTCTATGTCTGTCCCTGAGTGCTAGTATGATCTGTCCCTGTTCACTTGATTTAGAATTCTGTTTAACATGCTCACATGCACATTTACTCTCATTCTTTTAGTCACACTTACCCTCTCACACTCACATTCACACTCAGCCCACATACTTACACACAGATACACTCACACTCACACTCACATTTGCATTTACATTTACATTCACACTCACACTCACACTCACACTCACACTCACACTCACACTCACACTCACACTCACACTCACACTCACACACTGACATTCACACCTACACTAACACTTAGATGCATTTACATTCACACTCACACTTCTTAGTATCACATTGTGATAGTGTGTGACATTGTTACACATGCAAATGTACACATGTGCATCCATAAACTTGTACCCACATTTGGACACACAAAACTCTATTTGTACCTCAGTACCTTTATGCCTGTCTACTTCAGTACCTTTCATCATTTTGAAGTCCTTTGCCTTATTTTGTACTTGTTTTTTTTTTTGGCTTCAGAATACCCTAGTAAAACACTCTTGATTTTAGCATTAACTACAGTGTAGAGAAAAACAACAATCTATTTTTTCACAATTTCCTGTAACTTTCCCAATGCCAAGTCTTTTTTTTACAGTATCATCCAATGAATAGAAAAAAAATGCCTGGAATTCCTGACTCGATGGTATTTCTTGTATTATTCTTAAGGGTTGATATGTTTTTCAAGTGTTTTATTTTTTAGTCAAATGTATGGAATTTTGAAAGGCAAGAATGACAGATAGGCTACTTTAACACCCTAACAATTTAGATGATTGGAAATTCATAATATGAATAGGGACAAAGACCAAAATAAATACATTTATATAACCCTAAAATGTATAGACACATATGTATCTTACTCATGCACTCACTTTTTATAGTTTTGAGTGTATAGATAAAGATTTCCTGAAATAGGTAACCTGAATCATCTGTCAGTATTTTTGTCTCTGTGTTTGAAGTGGATATTATTTTTCTCATATATGTTTTATCTTTATAATTTAGAATTGTTAAGCATTCCTTATTAAGGGCAACTTATGGTTTATTTTGTAATAGTCCAGCTAGTCTCCTTTAGTTTTATTGCTAGTGTGTATGGATGTCCTCATTTTAATATAATTTATAGGTCAGTAGTTTACTTTTGTTGATTTATTGTTTTTTATGTTGTAGACCTTTTGTAGATTCTTAGTGTATACTTAATGAAACAGGGCATAAACCCCTTTAATGTGTTTCTTTAAAAATAGTTTTTGAAAAAAAAGAAAAAAAAGATGGACAGTCATTTATTTAAATTTACGTAACTCATCTATGAACCGTATTCATGTTGACAAATGTAGAAAAGGGATGAAAGAGAAAGAATATCGTCACAATACAAGAGATGTATTTGTACAGTTTCGATTATATCTTCATCAGAAATACATGTATTTTTGACGAAGATGTAATTGAAACCGGTCAAATACATCTCTTGTATTGTGAAGATATTCATTCTCATTCATACCTTTTCTTTGTAACTCATCTGATTAATTCCTATAAAGTGCTATAAAAAATCATACCAATGTCAGATCAGAGATAAATATATAGATGAATATAGGAACTATGGTAAATGGTGATTGGTGTAGGAGAGAGAAATGGAAGACATCTACATTTTGCTCTTCAGTAATATGGTTCATGTAACATATTCATTAAATGTTCTGCTTAGTTAATTCATGGAAAGATATATAATATTACTTCATTGATAAAAGATATACTCTTGCTAATGTGCTATAGAAGAGGGCATATCAGAGGGGTTAAGAAGTAGGAAAGTTTGCAAAATGATGTAGTAAGATAATGTTGAGTCTGCAGAATACAAGATTCAGAAATAGACTGAAAATTGCAGATAAACAAAGAGAAAATATTAGGGGATAATGCTAATAAACTCCATTTTGTAGAAGTAATTTTAATTGATGAGTTATTTTATGCCATTTCAGTTGGAGGGAAGAAGATGGGTGGAAAATCCAACAGCAAATCCCCTGGACGATCGCACTCCTCCTTGTCTCGGTCCAGTTCTATTGGGGTTCTAAATCAGGTGAATTTCCCAGTTTAGACTATGTCTGGTAACTGTAAATTTGATGCTAAGGTATATAATGATTGTTCAGGCTTTTGGGTAAGAGGAGTTAAGAGTTTTTGTCAACACAGACTGGCGAGGATGGTTCGAGAAGCGACAGGCCCATGAGACCAACCATTGCTTCCATGAACAAGATGACGCCTCGTGCTCTCAAGAGGAAGGCGTCCCTCTCACAGGCTGTCTCTACTGGTAAGCTTTTTATAGATATATATACATTGTGATGCTATTCACTTCCTCTTTTATTTTTATATATAGTGAGTTAAATTTTTCTTAATTTTTCTTCTTTTATGAGTCATTCACAACAAAGGTATAGATTATGGTTATAGAGATATTAATCTTTCTAATTGCAGGTGATATTCGGCAATTTCATGAAGATTCAAGCTCTGAAGACACGTCTCCTTCAGAACACAAGAATATGCGTAGCCGTACATTAGGTGGTGATAGGTGAGTGAGAGAGGGATTTATATTCAGATGATTAGATATTGTAACTACTTTTGACATTTGTAACACACACACACACATGCAGACGCTCAAATCATATTATATCATAGCATGCCTTCTTAGTTACTTTCATGCTGTCATTTATGTGCTGAAGGTGGTGGTCACATTCATTGATATTTGTTATTGATTTGATTTGCTATCTTTATATTTGTTTTAAACATTTGAATTGACATTCCAGTTTATTTCACTCTCATTTAGGGGTATTTCAAATGCCATCCACAAATGCCTCATCTTGGAATATACATTTATATGTATATGTGCAGTAAACCCTTGCTTCTTATCAAATTCATGATTATTTCAGATTCTTATAAAATCATGCATTTTGACTAGAAATGGTTTCAGTGGAAATAGTGTCCTTGAGAATATTTGGATCAGATAAAAAAAAATGATATGCTAATTTATGGAGCTAAAGAATGTGCAGCTTTTATTATTTGATAAGCTAAGATGATTAATATACAAACTTGGGCTGTGAAGGGAATCTTGTTATAACATTGAAGATAAACAGATGCAATTATTGTTGATAAGCATGGCCTGATGAAGAAAGCATATCTGTATTTTTAAACATCACATTGTTTTGCCAGTCCTCGGCATGGTTGACCCCCAACAACCTGTTATGTGTTGAATCCTAGGCTCTCTGGAGGAGGTGCAGGACAGACTATCTGCAGCATCAGATGTTGCTTGCTTGAAAATAGTTTTACAGGTTTGTGAAAATAGATTCTGCGGATGGCCAACACTTTCTACGTGCAGTTTTGAAACAGGCTTTTCAAATGTCTTGTCTGCAATGTTGTTGCAGAAGACGCTGCAACTGGTTGCCTTTTTCTGCATATTTTTTCTTCATGTTGCATATCAGTGACTTGAAATATGCTGCCAATTTGCTGCTAGCCAACTGTTCAGGAATCCACAATTTTTTCTTAATTTAGAAACTCACATATTCAAAACGTAGCACAGTCTGTGAAACACACATGAGCCACAGTGTCCTCAAAAGCCGAAGATGGGATGTCAACATGTTCAATTTAGTTGTCCTTTAGAAGAAATAATTGGGTCTAGATATGCACTGCCAGGAAAAGTTCTAATAATGAAACTGTTTTTTGTGACTTTTGTCTTTATTTCATTTAAACAGTTTAGAATGAGGGTTTACTGTATATACTTACATATTTTGCTAAACACATACAAAAATCTTATTAGTTTTAATAATGCTAATATTACTTATCATATGATTAGAGCCATGTTTTCATATATTTTAAGTTGTAAAACAGGTATAGCTGCATGTGGTGACAAAAGCTTTTGTATGAACTCTACAGGTCATAGAGGGATAGAAAAAACAAAATACACAAAAGCATACACAATACTCAATAAAATACAACAAAAAATATGCTTAGCAATACACACAAGAAAGACAACAAAAGATGAGACAGCATTTTCACTTTCTGTCAGGCTTTCATCTTCAGACATGAAAAAGAAATGCATGAGGATTTAGAAATTAGTATCTCATCCGTCAGTAAATTTGGAGCTAAAACTTTTAAAATCCTACTTAAGCCATTCTCATCATTCAGTTATTCTTTGTTGTGTGATTTTTTTCCGTCATTTTATCAACATGTTCAGTATTTTACCATTGAAGTTGTATAGTGGTGCTGTATTATCCGAGTTCTTAGGGGCTTGCAACCCTATCCTTCATAAAGCTTTGTTTTACTCTGTTAACATGGACAGTGCTAACCAACGATCACTTTCCAATGTAGCTGGTAATCCGATTAGAAGAAATTAGAACATCATGCTCCACAGCTCATCAGAGATACCTGTTTGTGTATGCTTACTCAGCTCCCATGAGTTTTAGGACTTCAATGCAAATCCGCTAATTTGTATACTAGGAAATGTTCTCTGTGCTGTCCTGCTTTAGAGTGTCTGGGAATGGTGTTTTTATTTTGAAAATTGCATGGATTTGAGTACTGATACATGCTAAAATGTATGTTAATGAATTTTGCATCTTCTTTTTAATCTTTAATATCTGACTGTTTATTGATTCTGATGCTGAATCACAATTCTCCATGAATGACCATACTTTTTGTAGCTTCATGTACATGCACATAAATCTGTGCACACACATGCACATGCACGTGCACATCTTGTGCATCCTTACATGTACATGCATATGTAGCTACATGCATGCTCATGCTCATGTCACTTCACACACATGCATATATAACTTTGATGATAAACCTTTTTAAATGCTTAAAATAAGATTTAGCACTCATCTTGTGTAGTGCAAGTTGATCTTGCTTTCCTTGCCTGCAGTGCTAGTTTAGAGAATCATAGTGTAAATAGATTTTTTTCCATTTAAATTGAATTTTGTAGTTAACCTTTAAAGGCAAATCCTGCCAAGAATGTCCTACAAGCATTTGTTCTATTTTCCAATTGAGCTTTATTTAAAACGCATGTGACTTGTTATTTTATTAGCTGCTAATGGTTTTTATTTTGCTCTTGTGAATGTTGCCTGTGTTGTGATGCCTTGTTGTGGTGTGTTAGGCGTGGCAACCTTCCTACCCGTGCTGTGAGTGAGCGCGACCTCACCCGCAGCAGCAGCTTGTCCAGTAAGTCGAGAGGGGAAGCCGTGCGAGGACGCTACGCCTCGGCCGCATCGCCTGTATCCAGACGAGGTCTTCCCAATTCGGACATCAGCAGGCCCTCATCTGCAGCTTCCACGGTGGACATGAGCCCGGAGGAGTATCCAACGAGGGATGATCTCTCCTTCAAAGACTTAGACAATATGCCCTGTAAGTGGTTCTTTTGTGGAAGTTTGACCTGTAGATGATATGACAGTGAGCTGAATGAGCAGTCTGCACAAAGTGACTTTAATATTTATGCAAATTTCTCAGACCCAATGCTTGATGTAGATTTTTTAGGGGGGGGATTAGTATAGTTAAGTGCTACAATACTGCTCATGTCATTTTAATTTGAATATCTTTTAAAGTGATTTAGTATAGAGGACTTTAGATTTAACAACTAAGTAATTGATTTATACTGAAAGAATCTTATGATGTTGATAATGATGGCCAGGTTATATATATAGAACATTACATATTAGATAATTAGTCATCTCATATCTGTAAAACATTGAATCAATTCAGAAAATAAGAAATGCCCTTATAGGAGTTATGAAATAAGGTCACTAGTACAGATCCTTATTGTATATTTTTAAACTTTATGATGATATTGTTCATTTTACTTTTTCCCTCCACAGTGAGCGTGGGTGTAGTGGAAAGTGTCTGTGAGTGGGTAGTAGAAGGATGCGAGCGGTTAAGTCAGCTGTGGTGGCGTGCTTGCAGTGAGGGTGGGGGAGAAGAGGACCACCACAGGGCTTTGCGTTCCTCCTGGGTGCAGCTGCCAGAGCCACACACGCTCTAACTCCTCTCACAGCTCCAAATGCCGTACCACCACCTTCTCCAGCCTCCATGTCCTCTGCTGCCCCGGCACAGCAGACTGGAGACAGCAAGGACCCCCGCATGGTGGCTATGATGCAACAGTATACTGATATTCTGGTCAATATGGTCCAGCAGAAGATGGCATCGCACCAACCTCCACCAGGACCCACGTGATCAAACTCATGTCACAACATACAGTCATGCAACTTCAACCTCATACAGTCATATGGCTTGACCTGAAAAATGTACAGAATAAGTTCAGTGCCCAGTTTTGAGATAGATTTGTCAGATGGGTGACTCAAGCCTCTTTTTAAGAGTGTAAGGCTGTGTATGATTGCTTTCATGTAAAGGATTTTGATCCACTTTTTAAATATGTGTTATATGTGATTTTAGATTCTCCTTGTTAAATGATAGTGTTCCCTATGTGATGTCAGATAGCTAGATTGCTGATGATTACAGTCTTTCTACTAGATTTGATGCCATTTTAATTTTATTTGATTGTTGCGTTTTACATTCCAGGTTGTCTGTGACATTTGTTTCCATAGTGGGCAGGAGTGTCATTTTATTTATTGATTATTTTTTCATATGACCTCTAGAAGCCCCTTTTGCTGCCAAAGCTCTCATGACCACTGTGTGATTGTAATTATCTTTGAGGACAACAAGCATGTATGTATGTATGTATGTATATATGTACATATGTACCCTGACTTTATATGTGTAGTAGAGAGAAGTTCCTGCATATTATATCACTGTCTTCTGTGTCCCATAACACTGGAGTTGACCCATAACACTGGAGTCAAAAATAAAGCCTATTGCTCCAAACTGAAAGCCATCAATTCGGCTCTGTCAGCAAATTTAGGGCCAGTCCATTGCTTTTAGCCAGTCTCCTAGAAGAAGTTTTTCTGGTATTCAAAACATAGTTTGTAATGCAAAATTTGCATTTTCCTTGGAATGTTTGTGTGACTAAGTACAAGTTTACAATATGTAATTGTCCGTCATAGTTTTAGATTTGTTTGCTTAAAGGTTCTTCTTCAGTACCACTTCCTCCTGAAGTGTGGTTCAACAAAGTGAGAATGTTGAACATGAAATAGGAAAAAAGAAGAAGAAAAAAAAAAGAGAGACTTCCAGGCCCAGGTCGGGAATCCACTTTTTAGTTTAGAAATACTTTTTGACGTTGGTCATCATGCTGGAGGGGATGATAAAATATGTAGGAACTACTCATTATATGTTGATGTCCATATACATACACATATATTATATAGACTCGTTCATGTATTGCCATGCATAAAATACACTTACACATACAGACACACAGTGACAGGGATATATTTCCAACATTGTACATGCATACATACATACATATTTACATATATACATGCATACATACATACTTGTAGAAAACATTTTATTTTTTTTTTTTTGTCAATATGGAAATGAAACTCAAACTTTTTTTCTGGGTCATTGGTCTGGTTTCGATGATAATTGTGATGAGACATTTATTCACTGGACAGATGCGATGAGCCAGATTTTTAGTTTTCTGTACAAAGTGGTTGTCAGGTGAGAGTGGCACGTTGACGCAAGGATGCATCAAACATCGGCACTCGGCTGTCTCAATACAGCAAGTAGGCCATAGCACCAAGTCAAAGGCATTCTTTCTTGGTATTAGAAATAATTTTGTCGTACATTCATAACTTAACAGCATGTTGTCTTTAACATTATCCATATGCTATTAACTACATCTAACTTTTCATTTTTTTAAATGTTATTGGACATGGTGATGGCATACTGCTGATTTGGGCTGGCTGTTTACCTAATGGTGTATACTATAAATATTTTGTGTTATGTTTGTGCAAGTTTTACTGCCTGGTAATTAGAGTTAGGAAACACAGCATATATGGAATAGTGTCATATTAATCAAAGTTTTTTATGTGCTCTGAATCTCTTATCGAGGGTCAAGGAAGGAGCACGTGATTGAATTTATTAAATATCTGATTAATTATAACATATGCATGTGCTGTGCTTGGATATTAAATCCTAACACAGACCAGACAATTAATGCAATAGCCACCAGAGGTTTCAGAAGTGTCATGGGTGTTGTTGCAATCTTGCGTTGACTCCTGCTCATTGATACCAAAAATTGTTGCTATGTTGCTCACTGCTGTCTGTGCTCATTTCTCAAAAGGATTCTCAAAAGGATGAATGGTTTGAATTGAAGCAGTGATCATGTACTGAAGAATAAAGCCTCCTGTTAGTGGACATTTTCTAATGATACTGCGGCTTCGGTAGTAGCAGCATCAGTAGGCATGTGAGCAGCACTTTAGTTATTATTTTATTAGTCTGCCCCTGATAGATTAGTCTTGGAAAGTGTTTGTTTGCCAACTTTTTCGAAGAAATGAAAAAGATGTGATGTCTTGTTTTGTGCATTCATTTTTGATAGGTTTTACCGTTAGTGTTGGTTTTCCACGTAAAACAGTTTTGAAAATTTATTGTTTTATGATGGCCTAGGATGATGTACTTGATGGTGGAGGCTTGTGCACATTTGGTGACAAATGTGACATTAAGCCACACTCTTGAGCCAGGCTGGGATAGGGGCAGTTGTGGGAGCCCAGTGGTCTACTCATTCCAGCTCTTAGTTTGCAGTGCACAAAATTTTGTAAAGCTATTGTATTAAGTTGAGCTGAGTCAGGTCATATTCCCAGAGGGTGCCACTTGGTGCCACGATGAGGTGTGCCAAACCCTTGCAGATGTGGTTGCTGCCAGAACTGCAAGGGAGTGTATAGCTGTATCATAGTGTACAGTCTCCATAGCTTCTAGACATCATTCCCTTGCTTCGGGGGGCTCATTTATCACAGGATAGGTTGCAGGCCTTGCAAGTCTTTGTCTTCCCTGTGACCTTATTGTATCAATGCCTTCCATAATAGTGTGATTGTCCTCCATTTTTTAGGGTGTTGCCACAGTGCTGTTGAACAGCTCTGAGGCTAGATTGTGCTCATATGGAGATCCGGGTAAATGTTTGCCAAATGAAATCTCATTTCTTGATAAAATATGTCTACAGAAGAATGATGTCTTTGTTTAAAACCTAATAAACATAACTGGAAATAGTTTTTTTTCTATTATACTGTTTTCTTTGAAGGATAACACTGATACATTATTACCTCTTACAATAAATTTTATTATAAAGATAAAAATATCTGCAATATATTAACTTTGCAATACTGTCTCTGCCTTCATGACCATTTTTTGCATTGCTTCAAATTTACTGTGCAATAAATGGAAAGTACAATATACATACATGGATTATCCAGCATTTCTAAACAAATGGCTATAATTTTTCTATGTTCAATCTTTGGTTGTCCATAAGGCAAAGAACATAAACAATAAAATATATATTACTCTGATATACAATGAAACGTTACGACTGTCCAATTTCCAAGTTCAGACCCATACTTTTTTCCAGACACGTTACAGAGCATTTAATAAAATTGAATAAAATCAGAATATATGCCTTCCACCAAATTTGGTTTTGAACAGGGTTTACTGGAAATTGTTTCACTTGTAACAACTCTCTATGTGCACATTTTCCACTCATGCTGAAAATTAAATATGAAAACAAAACTTGTTATTCAAGCCGGACACAATTGCTAAGCAGGTGGATTTGGAAGGAGCAAGATTTAGTGTGAAGCTACTTAATACTGTCATGATATTGTGTGCATACTTTAAGTATAAAAAAAGGTTTTCCTAAGGCACCATTTGTCAACATTTTTAAAGGATTTATGACTAAACAAGGGTCAAACTTTGAAAACTTTGAGCTTGCTATGATATTGGCCTGTGACTTTAATAGCTAAGTGGTCCAATTGACATGCAGTGATGATTGAAATTTAGAAGAGCAATTTCAGGTATGCTTTATCATTCAGAAATGAAGGAAGGAATGAGTAGAACTTAAAAAGAAAATAAATGATGTGATGAAAAATGGAATGACTGAATGAGATGAATGGGAAACTATAACCATATACCTAAGGCCAGATACACAAAATTGTTTTTTCTGTTACATCATGTCAATGATCAATTTAAATTACAACTTCGAAAGACCCCTCACGTATGCGATTCTGAAACTAGTCAACCAGAATAATATTCTATAGGCCAACCATATAAAAAAAAAAGGCAGATTTGTTTGCTACAAAGCATAATACTTCAAAAGGCATATCTCCCACAACCAGTGAAGAGGCAAACGGACATGGGATACAAAAATCGGTAAGGCACATCTTCAAACTGCTTGAAGAATTCTACTACTTGATACAGTGCTTTGATGGTGCATATGTTGCAGTTGAAAGGCAGAATTGTGAACTTATGCATATCAGATTGCTTTCTTTAGTAGTACACTTCATTTGAATGAATTGTTCCGTCTTTTGCTACAGACGGATCTGCTATTTTGCCTAAGATTGACCATGGAACATTTTGCAGCCATCAAAAATATTTCAAAAACAAAACACAATATCAAAGTTATTCACACTACCACTGACAAAGAAATCCCTTTAAGTTTTCCATAACTCTAAACAGTCCACTGCATAATACAGTACAGCAAAATAAAAATAAGATCTGTGATGCAGTGCTATTAAAAATTAAAGGAATGAATTACAAGTAACTTGGTCCTCAGTGACTAAAACTGCCAAACAGGACCTACGTCATGGCTGGTAAATAAGAAGTGAAGAAAACTGTACAAAAAGTAAATTGGATATTCAGGTCATCATGTTCATTACGATGCATTGTATGCTTTGAATTGTATTAGGAGAAATGTCCCAAAATATCTTGCTCGCCACTGAAAACAGCAGCAACAGCGTGGATCCGTCGAAAACTGTAGGGGGCCTGTTTGTGGAAGGAATCATGGAAGACATTGCTTGTTGAATGAACTCTACTTGAGCAGCCTACGATAGCTTCCAATGATGAACTGAATATCAGCCAAAATTAATATACTTTGCTATTCATCGCATTTTCTCCTCTTCTTTTCTGAGAAAAAAATCCTTCATCTTTATTCCTCAACTAAGTATTTTCTCCAGGTTTTCTCTTAGTTGACAGTGGATCTTATTCGAAAGAAATACACAAAGTTAAATCATGTAGCAGCACTACATCTCAAACCATATTCACCTCACAATCACTAGAGCTCACTCTTGGGGGTTTGGACAACAGTTTTGATTCACAACATTATTTCTACAATGTGACACTGCCTCACTATATTTCATATTTGTGCAGGAAGTTGAAATGAGAGAACTTGTGGTACACGATGTCACTGCTTTCGAAGTGTGAAAAGTATTTGGTACCTTGAGTATCCGTATTGCACAATTGCCATGGTCCACTGCATCACTTTCTGTCAGATGGATGTCACGCGTATTTTGCAACCTCTTGCTACAAAATCCTCGTGTATATTCAACAGCAACCACATTTAACAGAAGAACCATAATATATAAATATTTAATTAATTTACCTAAGCACATTCTCGGACTGGGGTCGGGGCACGAGAGTTACATCAACATACTTAATTACATTCAACAAAACATTGTAACATGGAATGCTTGGTCCCGAGTGAAAGATAACCATCGTGTGTGACGGGGACTGCCATGCCCCGACCCCGCAGTATTTCCAATTCTCTTCATAATGACTGAGAAACCGTAAGCCATTGGACCGACTGCGGCTCCCGTGGGACGCAGCTGGCTTGGGTTTCCAACGGAATCTGGGCGCTTTGCTGCTAGTACACGGGCGTGGTTTCATTGTTGTTGATTTCTTCCATTTCTTCCTCTTCCTCGTCTTCGTCCTCTTCATCGTCCTCCGCGTCTTCTCCAATGTCGTCGTTTGGGTTGTCATCTTGGTTCACGAAAGCATCTAAAAATCTGCAAGTAAGATTTTCGTTGAGGACGGACTAAAATAAATAGCTGTGGTAGATGTGAATATGCAAGTTTTTTTTCGCTTACTTCACCACTTAGGATTAAAATAAATGGACAGTGTTTATTTATTGACCTATTCGTCAAATTCATTGACATATCAGCATATTGATCTATTTGTGGGCTAGTCAGAGCGTCTTGAAAGCTTACTTGTAAGGCTTCTCGTCGCCTCTCATATCACAAACGGTGTTGGTCAAGGCCATAATGTAATGCTTCGCCAGAGTTAGGGTCTCGATTTTACTCAGCCGTCGGTCCATTTTCACGTGGGGAATGACTTCGCGCAGCTCCTGAAAATGTGGATTTTATCTGTTTAGTTTACGAAACAGTATGAAAGTATGTTTCCATTTAAAGGGCAAAGGTTATACGGTTCAATAAGAGCCCGTCCCCCGAGGCCCACCTGGAACGCCTTGTTGAGCGAGTGCATCCTCATCCGCTCCCTCTCGTTGCTCTCCAGCCGCCGCAGGTTCCTCTCTCTGGCTGAAATCCCGGACCTTCTCTTTTTGCCGCGCCTCGACGGCCCCGTCGACCCGCTCAGGTTGGTCTTCTTCCGTTTTCTACCGGCGACGCTCATGCTGCTGCCGCCGCTGCTGCTGATTCCGCTCTCACTCTGGGAGTCGGAGCCGCTGCCTTCGCCGCCATTTTCAGCCTCACCTGCAAGTTGCCGAGAAAAATGTTACAACGTGGGGTGAATGGCCTCGGCGCCTCCGACACCTTCTGCCGTCGTATGTCAACACGGCACCCATGCGACTCAACGCCAGGGAGCCATACCGTTAGGGACGCATACGTTAAAGTAATTAATTCGTAGTATCTCTAAAATATGGTTTGATCATGACAAAAAAAAAAAAAAAAAAAAAAAAAAAAAAAAATCTTGCAGAATGGAAATGTACGTCTCACCTACCAAGAGTGTGACCCAAACAAAATACACACCAAACTATACACAATCAAGCGTATCTTAGGTTAATCCACACAATACATAGTCATGAGCAGTGCGGGTTCCCCCAACACCTGTGGGAGCCGCTCGGGCCCCTTCCGTCCATACAAATGAAGGCGGCCACACCTGCTCGGGCGTGACGTACAGTACACAGCAGCGGGGAGCTCCGGGGCGCCCTTGTGTAAACATGTGTACGAGAGAAGCTGTGTTTTTCTTCCCCGTTCGGAAACAGGAAATGATAAGGAGACGCGCAGAGAGAAGAAAAAATTGGATTTCTGTGACTGATGTTTGTGTGTGTTTGTGCGTGCGCGCGCGTGTGTATACACATATGTATATACACAGATATATATATATATATATATA